TGCTTCCTTGGGGGCAGGACCCGAAACTCGGCCCAGGGTGATGTGGCTTGTGCATGTGGTTGTGTACGTAATTTATCATAGTATAAATTACTTGTTGATGCCTGTAATACGAAGATTTTCAGTTATATTTCCTTTGAGAAAATGGATGTGAGAATCTGGCTGTTGTGTTGGAACTGAATGTCTATATTTATTCATTTATTTATTTATTTATTTACTTGGTTACTCATTTATTTACTTATTTACAAAGTTATTTTAAAATATATCCTACCGGGCCTTTCGCTCACCTTTTATTGTTTTATAAATATTAACCCCTCCCAGGCGACTCTAGAAGTAGTGCGGAGTAGCTAAGTTAGATTGCTACCGTCAGGTTAGAAGATGATTGTGTTCTTCCTCCTTGTGAGTAAATGTAAGAAATGTAACTTCTGTAAACCCTGATCTTTAGATTTCTAGACTGTGGTTGATGTTTGTAATGTTAATTACATGTTCATGTATGTACAATGTTGCATATCATGTGGGTGAAGCCCTGAACGATGTCAAAGGCTTAGTTATAAACCTCTTGTATTCAGTAATTCATTTTCAGTGAAATGTGGGGCTCGTTTGGGAATTTCCTTAATATTTTATTCTTAATCGCGTTTAACTCCTAATCAAGCCTCCACGTCACCGACCCCAGCTTCGGGGTGTGACAAAGTGGTATCAGAGCCTTAGGTTTAGAATCCACAAGATTGTACATACATGTGTGACATCAGGAATCCACTAAACAGTCTAGTTTCTTTTCAGTTAAAGGAGATGTCGCCGCGTCGTAGATCTGTTAACCAACTGGCACCACATAATCAAGAGTTCATGGATGCCATGTATGCTACTTTCCAAGGCATGGCCACTCGAGCTCAGAATGAGCGACCGGCCGAGGATAAGAAGCAAAGTTACTTCTATGAGTTTAGACGTGCACCTATCCCCACATTCAATAGTGAGGGAGGACTCCAGGAAGCAGAATACTAGTTTGACTCCATAGTTAAACACCTAACCATTATGGGAGTGCCGGAGGAATATTGGATAGAATTCACGGTGTATAAGATGGAAAGCCAAGCAAGCAACTGGTGGAAGAATGTAAGGAAAAGGCTGGATGTTGCGGGAATGACTTGGGAATAGTTTGAGGTTCTCTTCAATGAACAATACTTCCCTCAGAGCTATAGGGATGAGAAGGCAATGGAGTTTATGACCTTGCAACAGGGCGATATGTCGATTAGGGAATACGAGGCTAAGTTTAACGACTTGTCCCACTTTACGCCATCTCTGGTGGAGTTTAAGCATTTGAAATTCCTGAAATTTGAGAAATGTCTTAAGAATTCTGTAAGGAGACCCTTGGTGGCTCTAAGAATTCAAAATTTCTAAGACTTGGTGGTTATTGTTACAAGCGTGGAACAGGATAACTTAGCCTATCAACAAAGCAAGGAAGCAGCTAGTTGAGTTCTGCTTCTGGTGGATCTTCTGCTTCAGGTGGGCCACAGCGGAGTGGTAGAAGAAACTGCAATTAGGGATTGATTAGTGGTGGTAGCAGTTCCTCTGGAAGTGACAGGAGTGATCCTTATAGACCCAAGTGCCATTATTGTAGGCAAGTTGGTCACATTAGGAGGAATTGTCCAAATCAGAATCAACCGCCGACTCAGTAATCTCAGAGTGAGGCTTCTTACGGTTAAGGAATACCACCGCAATTTGTGCCACCTTATCAGCCATAGTTGGCAATGCCAATGCCACACCATCTGTGCCAACCTACTATCTACCTCAACATCCATAGTTTCGGCCTCAAGCATCGGGACCAATGTAGATTCCTCCGTCGCAACAATATAAGCCAGGGACCCAGAGGCCTAATATTGGTGATAAAGGGAAGGGGAAAGCACAAGGACAAGCTTATACCCTGACAAAGGGTAGTTCTGGAGGACAGGCCAGTAACACGGTGGTTGAGGGTATGATTCTAATCTCTCACTCTCTAGCACATGTATTGTTTTATACTGGTGCTACCCATTCCTTCATATCAAGTTCTTTTGTACAAACCTTGAAACTGAAATCTGAGAGCTTGGAAACCCCGATAATGTTAAACTCCCTACTAGGATGTGTGGAGATAGCTAGTGTATGTAGATCGTGTGAAATCACGATTGGAGGTAAGCGATTGAGAGTTGACCTGATAATCATTCCAATGAGTCTATTTGACGTGGTACTCAGAATGGATTAGTTAGCAAGATACGGTGCGATTGTTTATTACTACCGTATGAGAGTAACCTTGACGACTAAGTCTGGAGCGGTAATTACCTATCAAGCAGATATGAACCCAGTCCTGGAAGAACGAATATTGCAACATAGCATTGGGGGACGGAGAACCTTGGCTTACTTTTCCTTCCTTCTTGCTCTATAAGGTGAACCCGAGATAATTAGAAATAATGTGAACATTCCTGTGGTGGATGAGTTTGCAAATGTATTTCCTGATAAGTTACCCGGTTTACCGCCGGATCAGGAAATTGAATTCAGTATTGACTTGATTCCGGGAACGGCTCCAATTTCTATTCCTCCTTACCAAATGGCACCTGTTGAAATGAAAGAATTAAAGAAGTAGCTTGGAGAGCTAGCAGAAAAAGGGTATATAAGGAATAGCACTTTCCCTTGGGGTGCACCGGTGTTGTTTGTGAAGAAGCACGACAAATCACTCCGGTTGTGCATTGACTACTGTCAATTGAATAGGGTAACTGTGAAGAATAAATACCCACTATCAAGGATCGATGAGTTATTCGATCAGTTGGGTGGATCACAGTATTACTCTAAGATTGACTTGAGGTCAGGATATCATCAGCTCAAGATTAAGGAGGAAGACATTCTGAAAACTGCTTTTAGAACTCGGTATGGACATTTCGAGTTCTTGGTGATGCCTTTTGGGATGACGAATGCCCCAGCTATGTTCATGGATCTAATGAATCGGGTTTTTCGGCCTTACTTAGATCAATTTGTGATTGTCTTCATCGACGACATTTTGGTCTATTCGAAGACTTGGGGGGAACATGAGCAGCACCTGATAATTGTTCTTCAGACTCTTTGTGAACACCAGTTGTATGTAAAAATGGAGAAGTGTGACTTCTGGCTGACGGAAGTGAAGTTGCTTGGGCATGTGATATCAGGATAAGGAATTTCTGTGGATCCTTCCAAGATTGAGACTGTATTACAGTAGGAAAGGCCGGAGAATGTGGTAGAGATTCAAAGTTTCCTCAGACTAGCAGGATACTATCAGCGTTTCATAAAAGACTTCTCGAGCATTGCTGCACCGATGACTCAGTTGAGCAAGAAAGAAGTCAGATTCGAATGGGACGCTGAATGTGAACATGCTTTTCAGGAATTGAAGGCAAGACTAACAAGCTCACCAGTCTTGACTATACCCGATAGCGAAGAGTCATATGAGGTATATTCTGACGCCTCGATGAGTGGACTTGGATGTGTTTTGATGCAAGGTGGATGTGTTGTAGCCTACGCATCTTGCCAACTGAAGCCACATGAACGGAATTACCCCACTCATGATTTGGAGCTAGCAACAGTGATATTTGCTCTGAAGATATGGAGATGCTACTCTATGGAGCAAGGTTTCAGGTCTTGTCTGACCACAAGAGTTTGAAGTACTTGTTTACTCAGAAAGATCTGAACCACAGGCAGAGGAGATGGATGGAATACATGGAAGATTTTGACTTCACATTGCGATATTATCCAGGAAAAGCTAATAGGGTAGTTGATGCCCTCAGCAGAAAGACTAAAGGAATTATGGCGTCACTAGCTTTGGAAGACTTAGAAAGAGGATTGAAAAGTGTTCTTGAGGAGTTTCTAAGGAGGTCAACACTTAGAAACTATGAGGTTCCTCAAGAACTTAAAGAAGAATCTGGTTTAATTAATCAATTATTAGATATTAAATGTTTCTGACGTGTAAATTTAAATAATTCTAAGGTATTTAAATATTCTCAGTAATTACATTTTTTACCCAGAAGTGTGTGTGGGCACATTTTCTGGACTGTCATTTTAAATATTGGACGCCTGTCTTTTCTTTTCTTTTCTTTTTCCTTTTTTCTTTCCTTTTCCTTTTCCTTCCTTTCTTTCCTTGCCCGTGCAACTCTCTCTCTCTCTCTCACTCTCACTCTCACTCTCGTTCTCACTCTCTCTTTCTCCCTCCCGTTTTTACTTCAAAATCAATCGAATTTTGAGCCAAAGGAAAATTTCAATAAGTTTTCAATGTCAAGAGAAGGATTCGAAGTAAGATTTTTGAAAAACCTCTCTTGAATCTCAATTTTTTCAGATTTAAAAACTTATTTTTAGTTCGAAATGGATTTTGATGGATTTTGGGTAAAACCATGGTAGAATTTGGAAATATTGGGTTCTTTAGACTTGATTCAGTACTTAGAACTCGGATCTAGTGGTTTTCCTTTGAGATATTTCGATTTGAAATTGAAATTGTAGGTTTTTAGGTTGATTCTGCGGGTTTTCCTTGCCCTGTTGTTCTTCACAGGTCGACCTGTGCGGTCGATCAGACCGGTCGACCTATACGGTCGACCGGACTGCACTGATTCCACCGGTTGACCTATGCGGTTGACCGAATTGCGCACCACCGGTCGACCGGTGGTGTTGCATTGCTCTGTCACCGATCGATCGGTGCATACAGGGTTTGACCCTGTTTTGTTGAGAAAACTCTATTTTGACCTCAATTTTTGAGGAGAACCCAAATTAGCTTCATTTGGGGGCCTAGAATGAATGGATTAGCTTTTTTAATCCATGTTTTGAGATTGAAAACCCTTGGAATGATGATTTGAAACATGAAATGGTTTGTGAAATCGGTAATTGAATTATGGCACACTAATAGCAAATTAAATGGTATAATTGAGATTGAAATTGCTTCAGGAATGTGAATTGGATCATAAAGCGTGGTTTTGTATCAGTGCTAGCTGAGGACTCGGATTAAGGGGCTTTGAGGAAGTAAAAGATGGAATAGTGCAACGCTAGCCAGGTTTGGTACTTGTGAACTAGGATTTCTTGCCCTTTCCTTTGTGAGCCTGTTTTCAACAGAATTTTGGCCTTTCAATGTTTCAAAGAAATGACGTGTTTGCGAAAGAAAAACATTTTAACCCCCATGGCTTGTTGTAGTTCTGGGGAGTATAATAAACTGTTTCATAAAGTTTAATGAATGATTTCTTAAGATAAGAGATCTTGTAAATCAGTAAACCGGCTGATGGCCTAGATAGGATGTGGAGAGTGCATCCTTGCGGGCAGGACCCGAAACCCGGCCCGGGGTGATATGGCTTGTGCATGTGGTTGTGTAAGTAATTTATCATAGTATAAATTACTTACTGATGCCTATAATACGGAGATTATCAGTTATATTTCCTTTGAGAAAAAAGATGTGAGGTTCCGGCTGTTGTGTTGGAACTGAATGTCTATATTTATTCATTTGCTTATTTATTTATTTACTTGGTTACTCATTTATTTACTTATTTACAAAGTTATTTCAAAATATATCCTACTAGGCCTTTCGCTCACGTTTTATTGTTTTATAAATATTAACCCCTCCGAGGTGACTCTAGAAGCAGTGCAGAGTAGCTGAGTTAGATTTCTACATCCGGTTAGAAGAGGATTGTGTTCTTCTTCCTTGTGAGTAAATGTAAGAAATGTAACTTCTATAAACCCTGATCTTTTGATTTCTAGACTGTGGTTGATGTCTGTAATGTTAATTACATGTTCATGTATGTACAATGCTGCATATCCTGTTGGTGAAGCCCTGAACGATGTCAGAGGCTTAGTTATAAACCTCTTGTATTCAGTAATTTATTTTCAGTGAAATGTGGGGCTCGTTTGGGAATTTCCTTAATATTTTATTCTTAATCACGTTTAACCCCTAATCGAGCCTCCACGTCACCGACCCCGGCTTCGGGGCGTGACACAGCTGCTCTGACAGAGGTCTGAATACTCATTTCCATTTAGAGGAAGGCTATCAGGGGACTTTCATAGTTTGACAAAGAGATGGTCCGACCATGGAATGAAAGATTCTCAAATGGAAGAACAGCAACAGGCTATTGGAGCATTCCCATTTGAAGGAAAGGTGTCAGACTACTTTCTGATTTTGACAAAGAGACTCACTGAAAATAGGATGAAAAGTTTCTATAAATTTGCTCCAGCAGCGTTCTGACGAAGTAAGGCACAAGCAATTCTATTTGGAGCAAAATCCCTACTACTTTGTCGAATGAGGCAAAATGACACCTTAGAAGTGGAAATACTTAAAGGCCAAGTTTCGAATTTTGAGCTTACGCGAAGTGACTTCAGACTTGAAATCTCAAAGAGTGTTTGACTCAACCAAGTGCTCCAAAGACTTTCCATTTTAGGGGTCTGATCGTGTGTCAGACCTTCGTCAGAGATTGTTTATACGAGAATGACCAAGCAGCCATTGTACTTGCTCTAACAACAGATTACTCCGACACAAGTTACTCCGATTGTGCACAAGTGCTCTGAATGGACAACCTGATATGGAGAAGAGCTGGGAAAGCATGCCTGACATAGGGAGTGCTCCGAAAGGCATGTCTAATTGCGAGAAAAGCCTCTGAATGAGTCAAAACTAATGGATTTCTCAGGTCATTGAATTGGAGAAAATTTCAGAAGGAACAGGCTTGGGTTTTTGGCCTTTCAAGGGATGAAATAAATAATTTTAGGCTACCAAAGACAAGGCGAAGGCTTTCTTAGGTTGAATCCTCCATCACCTATTCACGCTTAATTTGACTTATTCTGAAATACTCCCCAAGCGGGTTTCAAATTGGGTCAAATTAAGGACAAATGGGCCTATGAGATCACTTATCGCCTACCAAACCACAACCCACAAGAATTCTCCGAGCGCGGCTTGGGTCCACAAAACGAGCCCAATGACGTCGCGAGACGCAAAGGATTGGGCCTAAACCATTAATGGGCCTAGTACGAATTCAAGTAACAAATAGTATATTCAAAAAACAAATTCATGAATATGAGCTCGTTACTTATTCAGGTAACAAATCAACCCTCAAAGGAATTATCTATATGCTTCTTCAATTAAGAAGGTGTTGGAAAATACGGCAAAAATAGTGCAACGGAATTGCAAAATGTTTTAATTAAACAAAACTAAGCAGAATCATGTTCATGATGCTATATATCATAAATACAAAAGATTTATATCATACCTCTAAGAGACGAGCTGTTGAATCTTGAAAGCGACTGCAACCAACGGAATAGACACCAGAAGAGCCTCAACCAACTGGTCTTCTTCGCTATTCTTTTTTTCACAACTAGACTACTAGTGGGCACACGTCGTTCAATCTCCTACTTGGTATCTTGATCTCTTTCCAACCACAAGAGAGCTAAAGGAAAAACATTCTTGATGTTTGAACAGTTTTACCTCTCAGGAACCCTTACCAATAGCACCCAAAGAGTCTCTCAAGTGATCTAAATGACTCTGGGACGTAATGGGCTATTTATAGAGGTATGTTGGACTTGTTTCACAATTCTATTAGTTTTTGAATCCAAAATCGCGATTAAAATTACAACTAGTCGGTGCCAGGTAGACCGTCTGGTTAATCAAACAACGGACTATGTACGCACTACGTAAACACATCCAGTTAATCGGAAGTAGCCCACCGATTAACCGGATCCCGTTTTCTAGCCCAATTTTCTTCCTTTTATTTGAACCCGAGAATAATATATATAATTTCAGTTTTGATTCAAATAATCCAATGTAGAAATTTTCTATTTAAAATAATAATATATTTATATTCTCATATCAAATAAAAATAAAAACATTAATTTAACTAATTTATCGTGAATTAATTTACACAATTAATTCAACCGATAAATCACTCATTAATTAATGCCATCCGATTTATAACCAATTGCATAAACAACATAAGTTACCCATATGTAGGAAATACGCCGTATTGTATTAGGAATATATACTAGCTAGAAGAGGGACCCGATGGACATATATTGATCAAGCTCTTATAATCACAATAGTACTTGTTAACTCATAAGTTCATCACATGATTATAAGGTCTAGTGCTACTCCACTAAAAGCCTAGAACTGCAATCTCGATCAATGCAGTATATTTACAAAGCTCCAATTAGCACTTGTCCATGACT